CAGAGGCTTGAGAACGTACGTATGTTCATCCCACTCCTGTCGAATCGCGTGGCAAAACAACCAGCTGGGAATAATGATGTCCACCTGCTCGTGCAGTGACTTGGACCATATGCTAGCTCCAAAATCGGAGTAATCCGTGAATGGATCAGCGGTGGTGGTTGGTCTGGCCTTGTATCTGTGCACCGCTAGCAGCACGTGTGTATGCGGCTTCTCCTTGCTGAAGTCCACTGCTGGAACGGAAAAAATATCACGGATTATCCCTGGGACCGGCGTCGGATGTGCTGCCCAACGAAAGAACACGAGACTATTAGATTCTCCGGAATGACTTGCGGAGTAGTGAACTCCTCCTTGCGCGAAGCGGTGATGTTTGATCGCTTTTGAACCACTCTTCCAGCCCTGCAGCTCTTTGAAAAGAGTAGCTGTCATTGCTGATAGCGCATAGCATATGTCGGGATCGAGTTCCTGCCAACTTCTCCAATCCATTCATCATTCAGTGCGGCTGCGCCGTCTCTCAGATTCAGGAATGTACGCATATCCGTCCGAAGGGTTCCCCGGTCATCGTCCTGATAACATGTCTCGATAATCGATGCGCACTGTTGTAAGACATCGGGAAAATGAGTGCATTTCATAAATGCCTTCATATTCGCTGCTGCACAGAACGTCTCTAGCATGGTCTTCTCGAGTTGGCCTGTAATGAGAGATCAGCGAATCGCAATGTATTGAGGAGATCACGCTCACCTAATTTGCCATTGGTGGCTGTCTGCTGGAGTATACCAATGATTCTTTCAAATGGGAACATCCACCACCCGTGAATCGGCCCGAAGCGTAGCAGGAAATCACCTAAATGGAGGGCGTTATGATGATTCGGTCTCAATGATCGCTCCGGACGCAGACGTAAAATACTGGATAGGTAACTGTTCATGTGTGTCTTATATCTTCTCTGATGCTCTTGCGATGTGCGATAGGAGGTCGCTTGCCTGATGGCGCATGCAAGAAACATGGTAGAGCGGACTAGCTCACGTCGAACGTCGTCCCCAGGATGCGTTGGCGTACACGTACGGCACCACCGCTTGAGCATGGACACCGGTAGCTCGAACTCGATGACCGCCTTCCAATAATCTGCTTTGAGCTTACCGCGTGCCGTGGTGCCGATGTTGCGTGGAGGTCCTTTAGAGTAGGTTGGACGCGATGTAAGCGCGATGTCAGCTTGTAGATGTTCCAAATCTTGTCGTGAAAATACTGAGGAACTCGTGTGTCTTCGGGTAGAAACGTCTTCGTCTTGAGTAGGTTCGACACATTCGTCAACAAACTGATTGCCTATCAACAACTCAGGTAATATGAGAGTAACCGTGGACTCGGTTGCCAACGAGCTTGTGGCAGTGGGAGCCGTATGTATGCTGTCCTGCATTAGTTAATGAGATCAGCGGCTTTCTATCACGCATTGCAATGAACACTCACTAGCAACGCATTAACCAGGACGATTTTCTTCAGCTTTCTCGTGGGACCCCAGGAGGATTGATCCGCACCTCGGTTGCGACATACAAATCGTAGAGCTCCCCTCGAATTACTTCCCAACTGTTTCGCGGTTGGAACAGACATCAGTAGGCGTTCAATCTTCCTCACTTGCAGAAGAATCTTCGAATGGCGCTCGTCATCCATGCCGGATGGCTCAACGTCAATGTCGACGTTGATATCGTCATCATACGGATCAGCAGCCGGCATATCCATTCCGATGATGGTACGAGCGTGATATTGCACCAGACCAAGGAAAAGGTTGTGCATAGGATCAACAACAACGCTTCGCGTCGGGTCCCAGTACGGCAGACGCATAAGTTCAGACCATCTGACTCCGTTTTTCTTAAACAGCGCGCTCCGCTGAGTCTTCGTCGGTGCATTCCGCCATTCCTGCGCAGCCTTATACACATCTGACCGTGTCTTCATCCTCCAGGTATGCATATCGATGTTGTTGATCTCCTGCTTGGTCAAGAAGCATAGCGCACAAAAGCATTTCGCAGAATGGCTGGCTGCGCCGGATACCTTTCTGCTGGCTGGGAGGTCGGTTATGACGAGACCCAAAGCTGACCGCGAGCGCCTTCCACGAGGGTATTTGTAAGTCCTCGTAAACCACACGCTGTTCTTCCAGGAGATGAGGAACTTGTCCATGAGTGGGCGGAGGAAATGATCAATTTCCTCTTTAGATGGCTCTTTCGGTCCGGGAATAATGCCCATCAAGTATATGTTTTCCGGTTGATATCTCAGGCTGGGAGGTAAAAGTAAACAGGACATGGTGACCGACCCTGTCGACACTGACCGGCCTGCAATCTTGTTCAGGTAAGGGTTAAACCAATCCACCGACAAACCCCACAAGAGTCTGATTTCGTGGCCTTCACCAAACAAGAAGGGTTTTCCATCGCTACATTTGAGATCGCGGACGACAGCACCGCCGCGGATGTCGTAAATGTGGCCGGATTGCGCAATCACGCTCCCCAGCGCGAGAGCGTCTTCAATGCCAGGTCTGCACAACATACCCCCCACGAATGAGTCGAAGTCTTGCATAATGAATGGACGGCGGGGGATGCGTATACTGCGACCATCACGTACGCCATGAGTGGTGAGCTTGGCATTGCAAGGTGCGCTCGTTATCCACCGTCGAGACCGGCAGCGTGCAGGGTATATAGGGACCCCAGCATTGTATGTGGGCTCGTACGTCGAAGAACAAGAGGGGCACATTGCCAATACTGTGACCACAGGATCCAGGTCAAACAGTTTGCGTATGGTGCGAATATCTGTGGGGAAGTTTTTGTTTTTGAGAAGTCCTTCTTCCTGCATTGTCCGCTTGTCACTTTGTTGTAATGCGGTTCCAACGATGAGTTTGAGCATGCGTAATGCGAAATTGCATGATCTGTGAGTAACGTGCCTGAACAGACTGAGAACCAGCGCAGTGAATGCGGAAAGAAGCAAAAGAGGATTGACATGGTCAAATGGCTGATTAAAATGTTTGCCTATAAACTGTATGAGCGGATGGTATTGCTTCACGTAAGGATCAACTCACTTGTATCGATAATCGAGCCTGATGAGCTCGCTGCAAGGTTCGGTGTGCAACCTTTGACTTGCAATGACCAAGATTCCAGCAGCTCATGCTGCCCATGCAGCTGCTGCAGCATTGCAGACCGTAACATGTGCAACGCAGAACCGTATGGTCCGTTAGCAGTCTCGAGCACCTCATTGATGGCTTGAGAAAACCAGCACTGCTCTGCTTGTAAGCGCTTGGAGATATCAAGTGCCTGCTTGCTGTTCCGCGGATACTCCATCCCTCTTCGGTACAGATCCATACAATCGCGGGTGCGCAGGTCGATTTGCAAGTCAAGGAGGAAGAGCTTCCCGTAATTGTTTGTTTCCTCGTCGACATGGGCAGCAGCACCGCCGTCCCGTTCTCTGTGCGCTGGAGGCGACTTCGGCCTTTCATCCGTGACCGAGTGTGCCGGAGAACACAGTGATTCATTTCGCAACGTGACCCCACACTGCTTTGTGGCGAACGTGCCTTTCTGCACAGAAGGGCCTTCTTCCGTTGACGAGCTTCCGCGACATTCGTCATGGCTGGGCCCTGAAGCAGGAAGTTTACTCGACTGTCATCATCGTCTCATTACATCAATCCTCGATCATCGCTAGTACAAAGTCATCGCACCTTAGGCTCCGGCACGGACCGATCCTGTGCTTTGTGTTCTCGG